AATAAGAACAAACAATCCACAGCTTAGATATTCAAAAACATTATCATACAAAAATGTCCAAAAATCCACATTTATCTTGTGTTTTGACAGTTTTCATATCGTTAGAACCAGAAATCGTTTTCAAGTATTTTTTGCTTCATTAACAAATAAAACTAAAGGGCGTTTGATGTGAATCTTCGCGTTTATGATTATAGAAATGTAGCCAGTAATGAAACCAGAGTGATTCTGGTTTCTGTCTTGTTGGAGGAGATCTTTATAAAACCAAAGAGAAGCGTTACTGTCAGTTTCCTGTTTTATAAAAGAACATAAATCTTTCTGAAATGAGTGAAACTCTCAGGAGTTCGTCAGAAAAAGAGCCGTTATCATCTACACTCTCTAATACCTGTAAAAGTCTGGAGATATTAATATTTATGTAAGAATTGTAAAAGACACTTCTTTGACTTTATTTACAAAGAAGTATTTTGAGGGAAAATTCCATGTTTTTTCAGTGAAGTTCACCCAGATTATTCCAACAGGAACCTCCATGTGGAACAGGACTGCTTTCTTTCTGAAAAGCCCGAATTCTATAGTTATTAATCCGCCCTTGAGGAAGGAGACCTGTCCTCCAATGTCAGTGACCCCGGGGTCTAAAGACACTGAGGCTGAGGTCCCTTTAAAAGGCGCTGTATCGCCTGATTGAACTGCATGAGTAACAGTGGAAACTTTGTGTCTGTAAAACTCAGTGTTTTATTAAATCGGCATCAGAACTGAATCACTGACTGACTGGAAACACAGGAGCAGCCCAGAAACCAGAGTCTGGCTTTCTCTAATACACTGTAGCTCTGCTGTTCATACAGAATATCTGTGGATAAAACTACATTAAAGCCTCCAATGTAGAGAAAATGAAATTGGGGTTGAAAATCTGTATAGAGGTTGGGTTTCTGGGGACGATCTTATCCAAATTATTTCAAAAGAACTGTTGAGAGTTAAAAAGTCTAGAACATAAAGACCACTGTGATATGAATTCATTATTATTTCCTAATATAATGATGCTTATTTCTCCAAACATAACTAAACAGTAGATTATCGGTTGTTTTACAGCTCTGCTGATTCTCGTCAAGGGGCGGAGCTAAGTGAGTGGAGATGCTCTCAGCTCTGGTCTAAAGGATTCTTCCTCTCAGTGAAAAGTCTCTGCAGCCCCTGCATTAGATTTCTTTTGCTCTTATCAATGACGGGAATAAAGTTGTCTGATCATCTGATCCCAGCATCCTTCATAACAACGACTCCAAGGTACGTGACTGAATCTTTCACCAGTGCATCACCAATAGATTGTGATTCGGACTCTTTTAAGGCAAGTTCACATTTTCAGTATTTAAATGAGCCCAGATGCTCTAGAGAATGTTTGAATTAAGGCAGGAGCTACAGGCACCTGTGAGACGTCCTTCAAACTAAAAGTATGTTGTATTGTCTGCGAGTTGCTAATAAGCACAGCTTTGTCCACAATCTGAATACCTGTATATTATAAGGGTTATATTTGATAAACTAATTTAAGAGCTGAGTAAACAATAAGAGATAAGGAGACGCCAGACAGCCGTGTTTAATACCACCCTGCAAATAAGATCTTGAGTTCGGTTTCATTGAGCAGTTACAGCTTTTATACCTCGTCTTAATAAAATGACAAAAATAATATCCAAATCTCTCTAAAGCAGGGAAAATAAAATGATGCTCCAGCGTATCGAATATTCATAAAAATCGAAGCTTTGAAGCTTTTATCCTGACAGTAATCAATAATCAATGAGCTATAAAACCAGCCTGATACTGTTAGATACATGTCTGTATCTCATGAAGCCACATTGAGTCTCATCAATAATATTATTTAAGACAGCTTTAATATATTTCACCAAAATCACTGTTTAAAAGGCAGTTTGGGGGCAGTTGTTAGTAGAAAGGGGGTCCTTTTGGACTTCGGAATTAGTGTCAGTAAACCTTGAGTTGAGGTGGAAGCTTTAACGTTTGGATACATTCTGTAAATAATTCTAGCAGAAACAGAGCGAGACGGTCAGAAATGTCCTACAGAGTTCTGAAATTAGGCCGTCCCTCCAGGGACCTGTTGGGGTTTTAAGCACTCGATTGCACAGGTAACATCTCCCGGTGTAACTGACCTATCAGAGTCTTCCTTTTGTGATCTATTAAGTAATAGTAAACTGACAAATGGACTCATTACATTCAGATTCATTTACTATAAAAAATTGGAACAAAGGTTTGCTATTTTCTTTTGATCATTTGTACCAACTCTGTCACTATTTAATCCCTGAACTGCACTATTTCAAATATAAAATAAGCTGTTTTGCTCGTCCTCCTCCAACCATCCTCCTCTGGATCTTACAAGAGCTTTTCAGCCTTTGTCTTATACACGTCATCCAACTTAGTTTGAAAATTTCTTCAATCTAACTTCTCATTCTCTGTAAAATTCTGTCTGAGTTTTTGTGTAACCATGGCAACATTTGAAATAATATTCTCTTCATTGTATTTTCATATAAGCCAAAAACTCCCATCCTCTCTTAAAAACTGCTACTTCGTGTTTTAGAAGCTCCCAGTTAATCAAAGCATCTCATTTACAGCCTTGTGCCAAAAATGCTTATGACAACTTTTGACTTATAATATTTTAGTTATTTAGTTTCCAGTGTGATCCCAGCCCCCTAGTGACGTTGACAGAACATAACATTGATGTAGCTTTGTAATCTGTTAATGGAGTTGTAAGAATATAAACTTTGATTTGTTCATTCAAACAACTGGAAATCAGCTACAAGTCAATATGTGAAGTCTCCCTTTGTTACTCCACGTAACGAGGAGGCCATCTGTCTAATTAACGATTTCACGTTATATTAAATCATCTCCAAATACAATTAAAGCATTGTGACCTGGTGATCCAAAAAAGTGAGTGTCCAAAACTTCAAACAAAGCATCATTTTTCCAGTCTTGAATTGTAACCATGAAGGTTCGGAAGAAGAAAAACAGTGTCTTTAACATCGACGGCCAAAATAACAATGACCAGGTTTGGACCTTTTTACCATGTATTTACTCTGTAGTCCTGAAAACAAGAAGAACAGTGCTGTGACTCTGTGTGAAGATCAGAGACTCAGACGAGTGTTTAAAGGCAGCGCTGCAGAAGGTTTGTCCACTCTACTGACCATTTAAAGGGATTCTGAGAAGTAGTAGTTTATTGGAAAAGACCAGTTAAAATAAGAAGAGGATGACAACCAGATGGACAGAGACAATCAGAGGAATCATGAACCATCAGAGGAATCATGATCCAGCCATTCAGAAGCCTGAAGACCCAAACAGAAGACAGGACATTCTGGAGAAACACCGTCCATACGGTCACCAGGACATCTTGACAGCACTTAACAATGATAGTGATACATTGAGCTGAAACAAGTGTTCAGACTTTTGTTTTTGTTATTTAATAAACTTGCAGTGCACATATACTCTTCAAATTTACACACAATGTCTGTTGACCTATGAATGTGAATAAAAAGTACGTATTCAAAAGTATAAACAAAGAAAAAACAAATCTGATCGTGAGGAAAGAACTGAGACACTATATTAAAATACACATGGAGCTGATAAAATGGACAGTGAGCGTAGAAACAATGTCATAATGTTGTGGCTGATTGGTGTATATAAATATCACTGGTTCGCTGCTCAAATATGTAAGATTCTGTGATTTGCGTGATTTGGGTGGAGTTGTACTGAGAACACTGTGCTCTGATCAATACTATTAGATATTCCTGATCACTGAGCTCATCACTGCACTGCGTACAGTAAAGTTCAACACTGTGTTCTTATAAAGTGCCTGTTTGGTCATATTGAACGCTGTGTTTCCTCAATGAAGGTTCCTGAATGAACTCTGAGTGTGAAACAGCATTTAAACAGCACTGATCTCACTGCATATTTCAGACACCACTGACCCGCTCTGACTTGCTCTGACTCACTCTCTGACTCAGTGACTCACAGTGACTCACTCTCTCACTCACTCTGACTCACTGTCTCACTCACTAGGACTCACTCTGACTCGCTTTGATTCACTCAGACTCACTCTGACTCGTTCTGATTCACTCTGACTCACTCTAGACTTTGAAAAAACTCTGAAAAGGCTTTTAATAGACTAAAGTCTGACACCCTCTCACATCTAAAGACAAGTCACAGGCTATGATTTTGCAAAGACTGGGGATCTTGCAGGGTTACTATTTGCAAGACTGCAACTAGATTCCTTTTGAGATTATTTCCCATTATGCTCCTGGTGGAATTTTACAGGAAGAGAAACTGTTGAACAATGGAGCAGAAACAGAAGCACCTTTTGGCCACAGCTGCCTTTGTGTGCAGTGATTTTTTCAAAAAAAAACGCCAAAAAGAAAAAGACAAGACACCGCAGAATGTGGACACGACCCTGTTTATGTGAACGGAGACAGCAAGGTCTGCCCATCCTACAAAAAGAATTGGAGGTGAGTTATGACATTTACCACACTGATTCATAGTATTCTCACAGTGTTCTGCCATACATAGTGTATGACTCAATGCCACAGCTCATTGTCCAAGATTGTCATTTAATCATAATCACCAACTCTCACCTAGTGTTTTGCTTACCAGCATGTCTGTGATTGAATACTATGAATAGACAGTTGTTTGTAACAGCATCTATTCATAATATTTGATCAAGTGATGGTCATTAAATAACAATGGTGGCCAATGAGTTATACAACATGCCATTTTGTACTTAAATTCAGCACAAGAAGCTAATTGAAGTTAACTGCTGGTAGTCGTAAACTCACTTCATATTCAAGTATTGCAACATGTTGGAAACATTAACATGGACTAGAATACAGCATATCTATTATGCCAAAACCATAAAGCTGACATTATATTGATTTTATTGTAATACTATGAGTTAGCAGAAAATATATACACTCTTGGCATTTTAACAGGCAAATGACAGGACCGGCTTTAAGGAACTGCTCCGCATGACAGCGGAGGAATTTGACTTCCTATTAGAACGGGTGGCACCACTCATTACCAAGGAAGACACCAGGTTTCGGAAGGCCATCAGTGCAAGGGAACGGTTGTCTGTGACACTACGATTTCTGGCCACAGGTGTGTATCAACATGGGAGGAATTAACACTCCTATTGTATTCAGGTCAACACCTCCTTCCTTGGCTTTCAGTCCCCCCCTTCTTCACTCACTCACAGTTTACATGGTAAATTTGACCCAGTGGTTCTGAATGGTCTGAGTGCAGGACCATAATGTAGGTCATGTTTATACCCTAACTCCCCACATTCACACAGACAAATATATGATTTGCCACAGTCAGTATTAACACAGAAAAGCAGCCTTTTATTGTGAAACGTGGTGCCTGATATTGCCAGTTAGAAATCCGAGGTTTTTGCTCTCCAGCCAGCCTCAGATATTGGTATCTACAGAAAAATGGCATGATAAAAATATACAGTACAAATCATTAGTAATGCCTCCATTCTTCCCTTCATCCCTCACTTACTCTCAGAGAAGTGTGAAATGGTGAATCTAATCACATCTCTATATTTTTCATTTTGAAGGTGAAACTTTTCAATCCCTGGGGTTCCAGTACCGCATCGGCAGCACAACAGTCTCCCAAATTGTTCTCTCAACATGTGAAGCTCTCTATGAAGTGATGAAAGATGACTACCTTAAGGTAAAACACTAAAAATTAAAATTAAAAACAAAAACACTGACAAAGGTTTATTCTACCAGAACATTTGTAATCTTACATCAGACTAGTGATGTACCAGTATGGGACTGAGAACATTGTTATTAATCAATTGTACTGCATATTATTATCATGATATTTTTTGTAGACACCAACATCTGAGGGCAGCTGGAGAGCTATAGCCAAGGATTTCTATGAGAAGTGGCAGTATCCAAATTGCCTGGGTGCCCTGGATGGAAACCATATATACATACAGCCCCCTGGTCATTCAGGCAGCACCTTCCGCAATTACAAAGGCCGCTTTTCTGTGGTGTTAATGGCTGTTGCGGATGCAAATTATAAATTTATTTATGTGAACGTGGGGAGCCAGGGCAGGCTTTCAGACGGCGGTCTGTTTGCCCACTCTGACCTTCGTAGAGCCATGGATGGAGGCCTTCTTAATGTTCCCAAACCAGAACCCCTGCCTAAAAGCAACATTGTGATGCCTTACATGTTTACTGGGGATGATGCTTTCCCCCTACGGATTGACATGCAAAAGCCATACTCACACAGACAGCTGGATCCTGACCAGAGGGTCTATAACTATCGCCTCTCAAGAGCTCGGCGGGTAGTTGAAAATGCTTTTGGCATTTTGGCGAACAGGCTCCGGGTCTTCAGAACCACTATCTGTCTGGGTCCAGATAAGGTGGTGAAGATAACCCTAGCATCATGTGTGATCCACAATTACTTGAGAATGCAGGTCAGAAGCCTAGACACCACCCACATTGGCTGACTGGGAGAGTGCAGACCATGAGATGGTCCCAGGAGTGTGGAGGAAAGATGGCCAAGGGGCATTTCAAAATGTGGCAGCCTGCAGGGCACGCAATGCCACACAAAGGTCTAAAGAGCTAAGGGACATTATGAAAGACTACTTCATCTTATCTCAAGGCCAAGTTCCATGGCAGGAAAGCCGCATATAGTGTGTATATCAGTATGATGATTTATCAGAGGTTCCCAACTTTTGTCCCCATTCAACGGTGACCACCTGTGGACCCAGGTTGTTTTTTTTTGTTTTTTTTTCTCTGTCACACTGTTAGTTCTTTAAGTTTTTTTAACATACATTGTGTTCTAGTCTGCCTTTATGCTTCTTTTTTTTCCTTTTTGCTGCACCCTTGTACTGCAAAGAATGTTTCACTGCTGTACATTTGCTTTACATAGAATTAATGCAATAAAGAGCATAATTCTTGCAAAATGTGTATTTATTCAACTTTTCTTTGTATCAAAAATAACACTGCACAATAAGACAAAGTAGTGCAAAATAAAATAACTTAATATAGTAACTTTAAAGTGCATTACAAATGCAGTGCTACCTGTGTTCAAAATACTGTACCTATTACAGTAAGAACCATATAAAAGGCATATTAACTGCAAAATGTGTTATTTTTCAAATCTTTTGTAAACACATACCTAAAATATTTAACAAATAAAAACAGCATAGTCAGCCACACAGGCTGTAAAATAAACAAAGTGGCTTCTTTAGTACTGTAATGGTATCTAAAGATCAAAAAATGGAAACACCACATTTCATTATTTTACATATTACATGTTATTTCAATGCTTAAATTTTACATGTGGTTTTTACTATTTCCTTTACACTTTGGAGTGCAGTTTTTTTTGCACAGAACTCTGACAAATATACAAAAGAGTAAATAGCCCAAATACATTTAGAAATAAATGTAGCACAATAAACTGTAGTGTTTCCATTATTTGCTCAGATACCTGTAGATCTACACCTACTGAACTGTACTAATCAACTTTACCTGTGCCATCCAGACACACATGTAATTTACAAAACAAATGCCACGTTAGACCATTTTCAAACTTCACTCTAATGAAAATAATGCCATCTTTTCTGAACATAAAAGGCACATTATGCATTTCTATTTTAAAATGAGACATCTACCTCTGCCTCACTGTCCTCAAGCAGTTGCCAAAAACTTGGCTTGTGCTGTGGAACTTGAGGTGGAATATATGCATGGTGGTGGTTGAATTTGCATTTGAGGGTGTACTTGAAACACACCTTGGGGTGTGTATGGTGTTCCTGCTTCTTTGTGTGCATGGCGGGTCATATTCTGATCTTGCTCTTGTATGTCGTACAAGATAGTCATAATATTTTTCTTCGCTCTTGTTCTCAATGTCGGATCATTAATTTGTCTCACCTCAGCTGCCACCTGTTGTCCAAAGGTAGACTCTGTATCTTCAGGATTCTTGAAGCCAGACTGAACAGTTTTAGACATCTCTCTAAGCATCACAAGCTTCTGGAGCTCTATGTCAGTCTCAGCAGATTTGGTGTTTTTCTGAGCTTTTTTGAAAGGCTGCCGACTGACACTGGGCCTCAGATGCATTGATGGTAGGGGATGGGCTTGAAGATCTGGATGTGCTTGGTGTACTTGGTCTTGATCCAGGCTGGACAACTGTACTTTCAAGTGTTGAAAAAGAGGATCCAGCGTTAGACAGGGATAGACGCAACACTTCATCACTATCATCCATGGATTCCTGGTCCTGTGTGTCTGCATGCTCCTCATTTTCTTCAAGCTGTTGGGGAAAACAATAAGTTTTAAGATTTCATATATCTGCTATATGATTATAAGCATCTAAATTCATCAGCATTATTCACAAAAGCTATCAAAGTTCAACAATCACATATAGAGAGAATCTACATAAATACGTGCAGTGAGGATGAGCCTGGAGAGATACTTACAACAAGGCTGCTCCCACTGTGGCGTGGAACAAAAAATGGTTTCAGAAAATCAAGGTTTCTCTTTAGCCACTGTTGCTTTGAAGTGAGGGGCTTGTCTCCACTTCCACTTGGAAGAGGTTTCAGCAGACGGGAATACTGTGTCCTCAAAGACAAACTCCGGGTTTTCTCCGGGTTCCTCTTCAACTGAAATAACAGCATAACATATACACTGGTTGTAGTAAAAGACTAATCCCTGAACTTTATCTTTCTGTTTTAAATAACGTGAATAATTGGAGGGCTATCCCTACTAACACTACAGTGTTTTCCAATAGATTCAAAACATGAACTGACTTGTGGGCACCTCTTCAAATTAAAACCCCCTCCCACACACAAACACACGCCAGATTTATATGACTGAAGCCAGCAATCTTCAGCTGACATGTACGGTTCGCTGGTAGGCTAATTTTGATTTTATTCCGACATTGGAAATTTCTCTGCGACAGTGAAATCGCTTGAAAAGTCATTTGGTGTAAGGTTGGCATAACTTGCTCTGATTCAGTGACTCGCTCTGACTCGTTCTGACTCACTCAGACTCAAAGTGAGTCACTCACAGTCCAGATAGGATGGCTGGATGGTTCGTCATTAATCAGTTCAGTGAAAGATCCACCCAGAGGTGAGCACTGCTGTGTTAAACCTGTTACACAACTTACTGATTCAGATTTTTAAGCAAATCATATATAAACCTGTAATTTGTCCTCTGTTGCAGAAATAGTGAAGTACTCGGTCGGTGTGGCAGGAAAAACACTGAACTCTCATCAGGACTTCATAAGAAATCTGTCTGTAACCCCTGAAGGAGACGCCAGTGAAGGAGTGTGAGGTGATTCTGCTTTTCTGTCCTGTCATTTCAATTCAATTCAACTTCAATTCAATTCAACTTTATTGTCATTACACTGAAACAGGGTTGTACAGTACAGCGAAACACTTTTAGGCTAGATCTCCAGTGCAATTACAGACAACATAGTGCAGGACAGGACATAGTGCAAGACAGGACATAGTGCAGGGACATAGAACAATAAATACAGAAAATAAATACAAGTATATACACTGCAGTAGGTGTGCTGGTACTTTAACACTGTTAATATAACAGTAGGTGCAATAGGGTATGTAGAGGGCAGGGAGCAACAAACTATGGGTTAAAGTGCATGGTGCATACAGTCTCTGAGCTGATGGCGATCTGAGGGATAGTAGGGGGAGGACAGAGGTCAGTCTGTTAATCAGGTTGAGGTTGGTGTGAAGGTTGGTGTGAAGTAGTGTGAACAGAGGTCAGTCTGTATGAGTTCAGGTTGAGGGTAGTGTAGCTGGTGACACCAGTTTAACAGCACGGGGGAAAAAGCTGTTTCTGAGTCTGGTGGTTCTGGCTCTGATGTTCCTGTACCTCCTTCCAGATGGCAGAGGCTGGAACAGCGGGTGGCTGGGGTGTGTGGGGTCGGAGGAGATGCAGAGGGCCTTCCTCAGACATCTCTTGCTGTAAAGGTCCTGCATGGGTGGGAGGGCAGCCGCGGTGATGCACTGGGCAGTTTTCACCGCTCTCTGCAGGGCCTTGTGTTCAGCAGCAGTGGCACTGCTGTACCAGACTGTGATGGAGCTGCTCAGAATGCTCTCCACAGTGGATCTGTAGAAGTTGCAGAGAAGCTGTTGTGGCAGGTTGACTCTCTTCAGCCTTCGGAGGAAGTGGAGCCGTTGCTGTGCTTTCCTGATGATGTGGGATGTGTTCAGTGACCAGGTGAGATCCTCAGAAATGTGGACCCCGAGGAACTTGAAGCTGCCCACTCTCTCCACCGTCGTCCCCTCGATGCTCAGCGGTGCATGCACTCGCTCCCCCGCCTGAAGTCAACAATCAGCTCCTTGGTTTTGCTGACGTTGAGGGAGAGGTTGTTGGCAGTGCACCATTCAGCGAGGAGCTTCACTTCTTCCCTGTATGCTCCCTCATCATCGTTGGTGATGTTGCCTATGACTGTAGTGTCGTCAGCAAACTTGATGATGGTGTTGGTACTGTGCTTGGCAGAGCAGTCTTGGGTGTACAGGGTGAAGAGCAGGGGTGAGAGTACGCAGCCTTGTGGGCATCCGGTGCTGAGTGTGAGGGTGGGGGAGGTGTGGTCACCCATTCTGACAGACTGTGGTCTGCCAGTGAGGAAGTCCATGATCCAGTTGCAGAGGGAGTTAGTTATTCCAAGGATGTTGAGCTTGGAGACCAGTCTGGATGGGATGATGGTGTTGAAAGCGGAGCTGAAGTCAACAAACAGCATTCTGACGTATGTGTTTGTTCCCTCCAGATGGTTGAGTGCGGTGTGCATTGCCAAGGCGACAGCATCGTCCGTAGATCTGTTTGCCCGGTATGCAAACTGGTGTGGGTCCAGGGTGCTCAGGAGGCTGTTCTTTATGTGATGGAGGATCAGCCTCTCAAAACACTTCATCACTATGGGTGTGAGAGCGATGGGACGGTAGTCATTCAGGCAGGAGATGTTGGTTTTCTTGGAATGGGGACAATGGTTGTTGTTTTAAAGCAGGCAGGGACGATGGACTGCGCCAGTGAGACATTATAGATGTCTGTGAAGGGTGTCGCGAGTTGGTTGGCACACGCTTTTATTACTCTGCCTGGGATACCGTCTGGACCAGCTGCCTTCCGGGTAGGAACCCGCGACAGTGCTCTCCACACCTCTTCTGTAGCCAGGGTTAGTGGCTCATCTGTGGTGGTGGAGGGCAGGGCAATGGTGGTTGGATGCTCCAGAGCAGTGTCCTCAAAGCGGGCAAAAAAGGTGTTGAGCTCAGCGGGAAGGGATGCGTCTGTGCATGGAGAGCTGTTAGTTTGACTCTTGTAGTCAGTAACAGCTTGGATTCCTTGCCACATTCGCCTGGGGTCCGAGTTGACGTTGAAGTAGGCTGCAATTTGTGTGCTGTAGGTGCATTTAGCAGCTCTGATGCCAGCCTTCAGGTTGTGTCTGGCAACTTTGAGTTCTTCACTGTTGCCAGATTTAAAAGCTGCATCTCGAGCT